ACTAGCCTTGGAAAATGTTTTCTGTGGTCTTTGAAGTCCAATTTATATTTTCACTCCTGGAAGTTGTTTTCCCCTAAAAACTTTCCGCAGCACTAATAATTGTTTCCAGCTGCTGGCTTCTGCGGAGGATTGTACTTGGGGGTGCGGGTGGGCGTGGGGTGTCCACGGGGCTTCCAGCTGCTGCTGTCCAGACTGCGGGCGGGGGTGCCTCCCCCAGAGGATGGCAGAAATGGGTTTGGCTGGGACGCCAGGCTTGGTACATCGCCCTGCGGATTGAGGCACTTCTTCAAGTACTTGCTTCCAAGGCAAATGAACTTTGTCATTTTAATTTATCTCAATCACATTTTTAGACTTTTAACTTTTGCTCCATAGCTTCAGGGTCGTCAAACCCTGAGACCTTACAATCTCGGTAAAGGGTCTGTTGTCTACATTTGATGCCGGCGGTATGTGTGTGTTGACGCTGTGGGCAGGTCTCTGCTGTATTCCTCCAGTAATGGCAAACTGCTTCTGTTGTTTGGAAACCTTACATATTTATTTCTCTGCTTTTTAAAAATCATTTTCCTAATCCTCTGCACTCCAGTGTTTATAGGAAGGACTTAAAGAGAGTGTTGGAACCTAGAAATATACAGAGCATCCTTTTCTTCTTTCCTGCAGTACCCTTGGACCAAAGAAGTCTTTCTTGAAGGTGAAATATGCATAACAGTTCAAAGTAGGGGCTGTTCTGGCTGACGTGGGGGTCATGCCTCGAGCCCCCTGCTAGGCTCCTCCAGGTGGGCTTCAGGAAGTCCATGGACACCCTGACATACGAAACTGCAGATGCATGTGCTTGTTTCTCAACAAAACCATTATCCTAGTGGCCCACAGCATCTGAGTAGATTTTTCAAAAGGAATCAAGACCCAGAGAAGTTTAAGAATCTGTACTGCAGTGTTCCTGGGGCCGGTGTGTGAGAACCGAGGACGCAGCGCGGGTGCCGGGCTGAAGGATTTCTTTACCAGCCCCTGCCCGGGAGCGCCAGTCCGCCGCCGCGTCTCCGCCCAGGGGGTAAGGCCCCGCGGCAGGGGCCCCGCCGGCGCGACCAGCCTCGCCGGCCCCGGAGGCGGCTCGCGGCTGCTCACGGACACGCTCGCCGCGAGCGGACTGGCCCAGGCCCCCAGATGCCTCCCAGGGCGAGGGCGGGCGGGCCGAACGCCTGGCGCAGCCCCCGACTCCGCCTCCCGGCGCCGTGCCCGCGGGACGCTCCGGCGGGACGCAGCCGCAGACGCAGCCGCAGGCCGCGGGGCTGCCCACCCAGCGGGGGCGCCGCGGCCCCGTGCGCTCCCGGAGGCCCTCCCCGCGATCGGCTCCGCGCGCTCCGGGGCCCCCGGGGCGCTGGGGTTCGGCGTCGGCGCGCGGTCGCGGGCTCGGCGGGGTTCGCGCTCGCCCGACTCCCCCGCGGCCGGCAGCCCCGCAGGGCCCTGCGCTCACACTCCCCCCCACCCTCGGGCCGCCCTTCCCGCAGACAGGCCGCCTGCCCTCGGAGCGACGGGCCGAAGGAGGTGCTGCCCAACGGGAGGCCCGCCGGGCCGGCGCTTTCCCGCGAGCGCGGCTGCCGGGGGCGCGGGTGTTCGGTCCACGCAGGCACCCTGCCAGGCACTGGAACCCAAGAAACGAAGCCGACGCTGATCCCACGGTGCCAGGAACCGCCGCACACCTTAGCTCATTGAACACCCCGAACAGCCCGTTTGACAGACAGGAAACAAGCTCAGAGAGGTCCAGTAATTTGTCCAAGCCACACAGGCCCTTGACCGTGGAGTCCCGTATTTCCCCATCATTTCCTGCAGCTTCCAAACTCCTCCTGAACAGTTTCGGACGAGGTGATGAGCGAGACTGGGCAGGAGGGGTGGGAGCGGTGCAGGATTATGAAAAGGGAACCTCATCGGGCTGGGGAAAGGAGAGCAGATGCCTTCCATGCACCGGGTCTTCCTTCTTCACTGCCCTGCGAGCCTTTGGTGGTCTGGGGCTGTATGTCCACAGCCAGCCTCCTAGTAGGGTCCCTGGAAATATAGGTAGAACGATTTTTTCCCAATGTTTTAAATTATAAAATAAGTAAATAAAAAAATCGGAGGAGTAAAACAAACATCCACTTAGCCTCCAACTAAATTTAGCAATCAGAATAAATAATGTATAGAGCACTTCATGGGTTATAAAGCCTCTTGCTTACCATTACCCATATTGCAAATAGAGCTCCCATTGGTGAGCTGATTTCAGACCTCATGACAGCACCACCTCCACAGGTCAGGGCCACCCACTGCACCCCACTTTGGGAAGTTGGCTTCCTCTCCCTCAGATTCCATCTGGCTCAGACGGTTGTAGGCTGTCCCAGAACTTGGCTCACCCTGGGTGAACATACGAGCATGTTTCTCAGTGAGATTCATTGCCTGGAAATTCACTTGCAATGTGAATGGCTAGCCTTTTAGAGTAGCAGATTTGTCCCTTAAAATTCAATATACTGGGGGGTGAAGGACAATCTGGGTTACAATGGGATCCATTATTTTCAACTCCAGGTTAACACAGGAACTCTTCCGTGATCTTCCTAGCAGTCCTTTCCACTCTCTCAATAACAGATAACATATTTAAATACTATAAACCTCCTTTATCAGGATGGTGACGGGGCAGAACTGATATCCCAGAGAGGTAAAGATAATTATAAAATACTTTTAAAAAACTATCTTTTTGTTTTTTTATAAAAGTAATATAAAAGTAATTATATTATAAAAGTATTATAAAAGTAATACATCTTGATTTTAAAATCCTAAAATGATGCAAAAATGAATGTGGTAGAAAGTGAACCCTCTGATGACTAGGAATGGAGTAAAGGTCAGGGTGTCTGAGCTGTGCATTTACTTAGGATAAGAGCAGAGGTTGGACCCTTTGTGGCAGCTACATTAGACTTGGATTTACGCTGTTGTTCCCAAATAAGGGTACACATACAGTCATGGAGGTACAAGAAAGAAGAGTACACCAACCCTCCACCTTAATTATTAAATGTTTAAAATGCATCCCAAGGGCTATAATCCTATTTTCATTAAAAAAAAAATACTGGAACCTCAAAAAATGGAAGCTTTGTGAACCTCTTTGACCTATAAAGGCCTCAGTAGCTTCAAAACCCCACCTTTCAAAGAAATCTGACTCAGAATTGCCCGTTGCAAAAGACACCACTCCAATTGCAAAATATCCTGCTGTATACAGGGAAAACCTCACTTCCCATCCAATTCTGTCATAGGTGCCTTAGTCTCAGCTTAAAGGATTTTCCTGGCCAGTCAAGATGGGGTCAAGTACCCCAAGAAAACAGGACCCTGCATGTCACCGCACAATTTCATCATCTCTGTCTCAGCAGTGGGAGGCTGCCTGGAGGCAGCTGGGTTACCACCTTCTGGAATCTCCTACGGGTCCTGGTTCCAGAGACAACCCCAGTCAACTTCCTCTGGCCTAACCTGAGAATTGACGCACCACAAATGTGCACAAATTTGGGTTCTTTTCTCAGCAGGATCCAGAAAAATGGATGTTTTACTCTGTAACATATGAAGCACCTGGACCAACTGATCACTAGATGAATTCAGCAAACAAGAACTCATCAAAAAGCCTTGATCCCAGGAGGTCACACACGGGCTGTTCAGCCGGCCGGGAGGGTAGACCACCCAGTCTCTGTCCAGCCGCCCTGCCTCCCTTAGACCCATCCCTCTGGCAGTTCAGCCCAAACTGACAAGCAAAAATACCAGTCACTGGAACCTTCCCAGTTTTGGAGCATATACTTAAAGAAGACCTTGTTGCTAATGACCCAGAGGTCATCCTAATATCATTATCCTGTCATTTACAGCACGGTGTTGGCCCCGCCCTGGGTTTCTCTTAGACACTCAGGGTTAAAATGATGAATACAAACTCGTGCAGAGGCTGAAGGGGAGGAAACAGGCGACCCAAAAGATAATGTGAGAATGACAAATAGGAGGGAGGAAACCAAATACACCCATAAAGACAGAGTGTAAGACCCAGCGAGCACTGCCCTCGGGGGTCAGCCCTCTCCTCTGTCTCTGGAGCACTCAACTTTCTCTTTGCTAAATAAAAACCCCCTGCGGCTTTCACTCTCTATTCTATCTTTTGACTGAATTCTTTCCTTCCAGAAGACAAGAACCAAGGAATTCCACAATCCACCACCGAGTAAACAATTGGTCAGCTGAGAAAATAACATTCACAATCAGTGATGAACAGTAAGACGATAAATTATTATCATTCAAGGAGGGACTATGCCAAGTGGTTGATAGAGTGAGTTTGAATGCTGGGCCAGAGCAAGTCACTGAACCACTCATCCCAACTGTACCTGGGGATGGTGAATCCTGCCCTCAAGGGGGTTACAGAGGTTTTTGGAGGTAATGGATGTAAAGCCAGCTGTGCCTGGCACAGAGTAAGCAGGTAACTGTGGGAGGGTAGCTGTGGGACCAGCAAAACTTCTCTAAGCAAACATTCCCTGAGAAATACAGAAAGCTTACGTCAGGAAATGCAAATGATGCCAGCTAAGTGATAGAAATATCACCATTTTGCAATCGCCATTGTAGCAATTCATTTAAGAAAGGATAACCACTAAATCGCTGAATGCTAAATCCATGGGCTGAAATATTCTGGGAGAAAGAGACTTTTCCACACACTCGGGTTACTCACTAATTATAAAGACAAAATGTCCTTTTGCAATGGAGAGATCTTGAGGGTGCCTGATTGTACCCTCAGTCTAATGATGAGGAAACAATCACACAAATCTAAATTGAGGGACATTCTGCTTGGAATGGACTTACCAAAAACATTAATGTCTTGAAACAGTAAAAAAGGCAGGGGAAGTGTTAAAGTTCCAGATGGAAGGAGACCACAGAGACACGGCAACTAAAATCAGTGCATGATCTCTGACTGGACCCTGGGTTGAAAGCAAAAGCTGTCAAGGGCATCACTGGGACAACTGGGGAAATAGGGACTGATGACAGTATGCGACGGGGGCGGGGGTGGGATGGGGTGAGGGTGGTTATCACCAAATACCGTAAAATGCAAACAGCCGGTGAGTCCAGGTAAAAAACATATAAGCGTACTATGCTCTCCTCTTTTCTGTAGGTTTGAAATTTTTCAAAAAGTTGGGGATAAAAACCAGGGTATGCAGAAAGACAGAGGCAGTTAACTGAGGAAGCAGTCAGCTCACCCCCCCCACACACACCTTCCAACTTCTATTAGCCTCCAAGCCACTTCTGGGGCCCCCACACTGGGCGGTGAGCTCCAAAGGACACCTATGCCTTTTTCATCCTTGTTCGTCCACCCTCCTGGCATGTGTCCAGAACATGTTCCATAAGTGTGCACAGGCCGGCACCCTCCCTCTGGGATGTGCTCCCAGGAAGCCAGGGCAGAATCAGCTCTGGGAACAAACAGATCAGAATGGTGCTGCCAGGCAGGACATTGTGAGGCCTTCATGTTGCTGGAAGTACCAGACACCTGGAGGTGCGTCAACAGGGGCCACACCGGGGCGTGTCTCCCGCAGTCCCCTTCTGGCCTCACCTGCCCTCTTGGCAGGGAAGGACAAAACCGGCAGGGCTGTATTTGCTGTGCCCCACTCCCCAGCCATTGGCTCTGGAGGGTCAATAAAACCCCAAGAGTCTAGAGGAGAAAAGCGGGGCGGACCCTCATGGTCCTCCCCAGCGTGGGACAGGGGCTCTGTTCCCACCCGTGCCCCCTTATACCCTGGGAGGAGAGAGGGAAGCATCTGCAGGCCTGCCCAAGGATTGAGTCTGGAATCCAACTCCAGCCCCTCCCGCACAGTCCCACTGCTCTGCAGCCCAGCTTGCGGAGCGGATGGCTGGGGCCCTGGAGGGCCCCGTGTCAGGCAAGGCCTGTGCCCTCCTAGCTGGAAAAGCCACTGCATCTGTCAGGAGGGCACGCCAGCCAGCAATGACACACACATGCACAGCCTCCGTTCCCACCAAAGCACAGAGCGTTTCCTGTGCCTTTTCCGTTATTTCACAACCTGCGCCTTTTTACTCACCCTCTGGGCTCCAGGATACAGAACTTTTTCTCCTCCCAGAAGCCAGACATCTGGCTCTGGCCTCTCCTCGTCAACACCATGGCCAAGACCCCTAGTGACCACCTGTTGTACTCCCTGGAGGAATTGGTGCCCTACGACTTTGAGAAGTTCAAGTTCAAGCTACAGAACACCAGCCTGGAGAAGGAGCACTCCCGGATCCCCCGGGGCCAGATCCAGACGGCCAGGCCAGTGAAGCTGGCCACCCTGATGGTTACCCACTACGGGGAGGGGTATGCTGTGCGGCTGACCCTGCAGGTCCTGAGGGCCATCAACCAGCACCTCCTGGCAGAGGAGCTCCACAGGGCCGTCAGCCCAGGTAAGCAGGACCCATGAGCCCTCCTCTCCCAGTGTAACTGCTGTCGTTCCTCGGATGGGACGGAAAAGTGCACGAGGGAACTTGCTCGGCCCAGCGTGTTTTGACTTGGGGGTTATGAATCCCAGGTGTACCATGACCCCAGCGACTCTGGCCAAACAAGTCCCTTCTTCTGCTCTGGGCCTCAGAGCTGGATTAGTAAAAGCAAGTCTCCCAATGGCTTTAAAAAAAAAAAAGGTGAGATTCTGACTTTGGGGCAGGACTAGGAAAGGCAGGGGCTGGCTGGCTCGCAGGGAATTGCTCTCATATTTGTGATGCACACTTTTGTACAGACAAGTGTCACTGGGTGAGCGAAAAGGGCTTCCTAGCCCATCATATTAACAAGGTTGATGGGTAATCTCATCACTACCCACCTGATTTCAGGTTTGAGTTCTTTAACACATTTTACAAATGCATTTAAAAATTCTCAAGAGGACTTTCTCCTTTTCCTTCTTTTCCTCTTCCTTCTCTCTCTCCCTCTTCCTTCCTTCATTTCTTTTCTTTCTTTGCTTTTTTCCTTCCACCTCCTTCTCCTTGTTCTTCTTCTGCTACTCTTTTAACTTTCTGAATTTATTGCGCTGTAATCAAAGAATGTGGCTTATTTGATTTCTGCTTTCAAAGACTTTTTGAAGTTTTGGGGTGAGCTAACACGTGATCAGTTTTAAAATTTTTTGGTGTTTGAATTTTTCTTCTATTTCTAGACTTTAACAATACATTAGAAATGCTTTCCATGTGCTTCTATGAGGTAGAACCATTTAAATAACACAAAAATCCTCTGCTCTTTCAAAGAACTACACCGCAGTCTGAGTCTGGTGTGATTTGATGAAAATTTTTAAATTCCTTTTTTGTGTCTTCAAATCCTGTTATTAGCATCTTCAGGGGTTCCCACCAGTTCTTGAGCTAGTTTTGGTAACTTGTGTTTTCCAAAGAGGCCAACTACAAAGTTTTAAACAACCTTAAGGTAATTTTAATAACAGCTTATTTAAGCCAAAAATTAAGGTGCTCATTAGAGGTTATTTTCATTTCTTTATTAGAGTAATGGTTTTCAAATTATATCCCAGGAGCTATTTCACAGATTCTTTAGAATATTAGCAAATAGTTGAATCAAATTTTAGTAATTTTTTTAACTGACAAAACTAACAAACTCATATTAAAATGCATCACTAACCAAATTTTAAAATACTGGAGGCCTCCATCCAGTGTGATAGCTCACAATGTACTTGAACTTTTTATAAAGACCTAGGAATTATGCTTGTCATTTCTGCTTAATCTACCAGCACCCTGAAATGTCCATGCAAGCTGTTTTTTCTTTTTTTTAATTACCATTTACAGTGACTTACCCCTGTGAGTTAGGGTTTTCTTCACCTCATGAAACCAAAGAAAAAAACAGCTTCTGGAGTTTTAAGTGTTCTTCATAACCTCTGATTTCGAATTTTTGTGATCAAATATGTTGATTCTTCTTTATCGACTCGTTTCATAAGTAAGGCTCACATCTATAATCACACACGAATTAATGCCAATAAACTGGGGTTTTTATTTATCTTATGTGTTGAGAATTCTGGGTAAGCACTCATATTGGAAACAAAGGCACTATTTGAGAAACAGAGAAGATAATTAGTATGTTCCTACTTAATGGTGACTGACTGCTGTGGCCTAGAATTCTGGGCGTTTCTAGCTTCTAGATTCTCTCTCCCCGCAACCCCAGCCCTTGGCCCTGAGCTCCGGACATTTCCATGCCTTGTGCCTCTTTATCTTTCCAGAATATCCGACACAAGAAAGTGGCGCGAACGGATCAGCAACGTCTTGTACCTCTGGGGAGAATAAGCCCGAGAGCATGAGGATACCAGACGGCCTGGACGGTGACAGGCGGGGGCAAAGCGGTGATGGGGCAACCAGCCTGCCAGCCAGCCAGCTGGAGGCCGCAAGAGGGCCCCAGAAGAAGCCTCCAGGCAAACGGAGAGACCCTAGGGCCGTGGAGGGCCTGACTGCGCAGGGCAAGCCAGGGGCCAGGCCGGGGACTCTGTGCTCCCGGAGGAGCGCTGTCCCCAGCAAGCTGCATGGGGACAGGGCGAGCGATCCGGAGGTCAGGCTGCGCAGGAACGCCAGCTCTGCAGGAAGGCTCCAAGGACTCTCCAGTGGGTTGTTAACTGGGTCTCTGGGGAGAGGAAAGTCCAAGATATCTGAAGTATATTTACCTTCAGGAAAGAGGCGACCCAAAAGCCTTGAGTTTACCGTTTCTGCAGGAGAGAGAGACCCCCCCAATCCAGAAACTCTTCTGCCTCAAGAAAAAACAGGAAGAGGGAATCCAGACTCAGTAGCCACTGCCAGCATAGAGGCCACTGTGGCTCCAGAGAAAGGCTCCAGAGATCCAGAACATTCCGTCATCAGGAACACACTTTCCAATGTATCCTTGGCTGAAGAGAAGACCTGGGAGCATCCAGAATCCACACCTTTGAAGAAAAATGGAATTGAGAATTCAGAGTCCTCTGAGACCTTGGGAGAGGTGGTAGGCAGTACGCTCCATGCTTCAAATCCAGAAGCCCCTCCATCTTCAGATAAGAAAGGACCACAGAATAGAGCCCTGGCATCCTTAGGTAAGGTGACCTCCTTTTATCCCCATTGTATTTACATCACTGGATCCCTGGGTTCCCAACCCTTTAAGAATCTGATGTAGGTTGTGAACCCTGAAAAAAATGCATATATATTCACATCTTCCCAAATGTTGCATCAAATATCACTTAGTTAGTTCTTAGATACTCTGAGTCCTTCTTTAGAATTCAAGGGCTGCACGGACCCCAGGTTGAATGACTGGGTAAAAATATTCCTTTTCTGGGGCCGAGAGTCCGCCATCTGCCTCTCTCTGGGCAGGGTGGAGAGCTTTCGGCTAAAATACTTGGTCTCTTCTACTAGGAAGCAGAAATTAGCATTATGATAGGTTGTGACTGACAGAAATGCCAAAGTAACATATTAAAATAAGACAGAAGTTTGTTTCTCTTTCACATAAATGATGCACAGGTGACCCAGGATGCCTGTGGTGCTCCATGGGCCGGAACCCTAGGCTCCTGTTATTTTTCTGCTCTGCCAAGTCTGCTCTCAAGCTCGTGGTCTCTGACAGGGGCTTCCTCATCCCAGGCAGCAGGGTGGAGAGACAAAGAATAGCATCACTTAGGAAAGGTTTTCAGACGTTTCTAGAAGCTTCTAAGAATGCCTTCATTTACATCTTTTTGGCCAGACTGCAGTCAAATCTCTACACCAAACTGCAAGGAAGGTTGAAAAATGCATGTTTGGCTTTTTTTTGTTGGGGGAGGGCAGTGCTGGGGTGGGAGAGCAGCTATATGGACAGCAATCAATTCTATCACAAAGGCAGGAGGGGAGCATGGATACTGGGCCTCTCCCAGTCTCACAGATGCGATATGAATTTCTGGGACCTTGAGAGGAGGTAGAGGGGATTAATGGATTGAGCATATTTCTATTTATTCTTGGATCTCCTGTCATTTGTGCTTTAAGAAGCTGTGCTATGTTCTTGGGGCAGAGCTGCTTGTCCTCATGGTGGGCTACACCCTTCAGCCATATAAAGTCCCCTTCTTTACTTCCATTTAAGGCTTCCTGGACCTTGACGTGAGCAGTGGGCCATTTGTTCCTCATTTGACATATCCTCCCCAAATGCTTACCACATGCCAGAACTCGGCTAGGGGCTGGGGGTCCAGTTATGAGGGAGCTGCCACCCCCTGGGAGCTTCCCCTCCAGTCACAAGCAGCCTGGGTGGTTCTAGGTGGCAAAGCAAACACTGGCCAGATTATCACCTGATAGATCCACATATGTGCAGAAGGCAGACATAGAATTTATAGCAAATGGACCCTCTTTAGGATAAAGGCTCAAGATTCCAAGTCACAGGCTGCCATGAGATCTAGCCCTTAGTCCTCAGTTCCAGTGGCTTCTTTGCTGCCTCGTGGAGGGAAGTTGGGGGAGGAGAGCTAGGAAGTGGCTGAGGTCTCATGCATCTCAGGCATGGGCTCTGTTGTCCTGTTGTCCCTTGCAGCACCCCTTGGGTTTGTCACTCAGGAGATTTTCCCACTGCCTTGTCCCCAGGGAGGCCACAGGACGAGGCTGCGGGTCCTCTTCTTCATGCCCAAGACGGAGGCCCTGCTGGTGGCTCATGTGTGCATGATTCCTGCAGCTGCTCCATTCCTTCTAAGGATCCCAAGGCCTCAGGCAGACATTCCACCAGCTGCCCCAGGTGCCAGGCCTCTCTCCCAGGGAAGAGCTCTGGAGGCCGTGAGTGGCAAGAGGGCCTGCAGATGGCCAGCCTGGGCCCCAAGCCCCTGCCACAGTGTGAGCGGCACATGAAGCAGGTCCAGTTGCTCTTCTGTGAGGACCACGGGGAGCCCATCTGCCTCATCTGCAGGCTGAGCCAGGAGCACCGGGGCCACCGAGTGCGCCCCATCGAGGAGGCTGCCCTGGAATACAAGGTAGGGCTTCCTGCCTGAGGGCCCTTCTCTGCTGGGCACTTGAACACATTGGGGCTTGCTGCATTTTCCCAACAACCCTGGCAGGGTGGAGCATTAGCCAGCATTCTAGGGCTTTGTATGGCAAAAACACAATACAGACTGGGCCAGCGAAGGGAATTTACCAGTTCATGTAGCTCAGAGGTCCAGGGGAATGGCTTCAGGTGCAGCTGAATCCAGGGGCTCACAGAAGGCCATTAAGAATCTCTTTCACCACCTCCTGGCTCTGTTTCCCTTGGTGTGATGGGTTCATTCGTCCTTTCTCCTGGGCACCCTTTCCCATGTTCTCAGCTGGAGTATTCTTAGCTCTACTTCCCAAGGAAGATTTTCCCCTCTAAAGTTGGCACCAACTAAAGATGGAAGGAGCCATGTTTAAGCTTCAACAACTGACTTTTTTCCCAGGAACAAATTCAGAAGCAGCTAGAGCATCTGAAGGAGTTGAGAAGATCTGGGGAGGAGCAGAGGTCTCAGGGGGATAAGAAGACAGCAAACTCTTCGGTAAGGCCGGTCCTTACCCCACTTCCGTGGCCAGTCCTTGCCTGGCTTCACCCCTGCAGGAGGGAAGGGACTCAGAGTGAGCGGGGGGCCCAATCGGTTGTGGTTCATAGGGGAGCAGAGCTGGTGACACAGTTAGAACCTCCTGCTCCTGGGATGCAAGGAGGTAATGGGGTCCAGGGATGAGCTCAGCCTGGAGAGGGAGGCCAGGTGGGGGGCGTTTCCCAGGACTCTGTCACGGTGCCTCATGATCACCACAAAATGGTTTGGAGAAACTAACGCTAGTGGCTGCACTGAGGGATGGGACTGAGGGAAGGAAAGGCGAGACTTCTCAACTTTAAATACTCTTCTGTGTTGTTTTTATACATGTTGTCCATTTTTTTCCCACAAAAATCACTTTTAAATTCAAATGGCGAAAGTAGACATTTTCCTTAAAACTGTACTTTTGCGACACAGACTTCATAAGTACAACTTACCGGCCTTTCTTGGTCGGCTGGTAGCCAGCCTCTTGGAGGCACAAGTTGCTTCCGTTTTTCTGCAGGCGAAGTGGCCTCCCGCACAGAGCCTTGCTTTGTCTGACGCCTTTGCATTGGTTGGATCCCTTCTCCCTCTCTGAGTCCCAGCCTTCTGCTGAGACCCAGCACACTGCAATCAGAAACAGGCAAAGACAGCACAGGACAGAGTGGCGAGGGCTGGCAATGCCCAGGGTCTGGCTTTTGGGAGGCTCCTGCATTGTAGCAAAATGAAAACCATTTCCTATAATCCCAGGTGGCTTAGAGTTTGTGGCTGGTGCAGAGGTCCAGGACACCCCCTCCAGGAGGTGAGGTGGGAGCCTGGACCACTCAGGGAAACCCAGGGATACAAGAGGACCCAGCCTTCCCTGAGGACATTCCTAGCAACATGGCCCCTGTGGGGAGGAAATACTGTTTTCAGGACTTCTCTTTATTTCAATAGTGAAAAAAATTTTTTTTAACTGTAGGGAAGAGGAAGGAAAACTCTCCTTCCCAGTAGAATGCCAGCTAAAACAACTGTAGAAGACAACTGAATTAGACAATGTCCATTATACAAACACCAATAGAACAACTGGGATCAACAGGGATCATCAAGGGATGCTAAAATTTTTGGAGGCAGATCATTAGAGAACAGGATATTCACACAGTTTTAAAGTACCACTCCCTGAATTACTAAGTAATTAAGGAAACGATGTGTAGCACAGAGAGAACTGGTAGACCCCCTCCTTAACCACATGACCCATCTTAGTATCACAAAAATGGTGATGGAGAAACTGGACAATCTTTGCCTTCCCGTGGGATATGCTAGGAAGGCCGTGGCATTGAGTATCTGGTATTCTTGCCCAAAATGCTTAGCCTAAATTTAATCATGAGCAAAATTATCAGAAAATTTTAGAATATAGGCCACTGAACAAGACAACTGACTTGTCCTCTTAGAAAAAAAATGTTGCCGCCATCATCAACAACAATAAAAGGTGAGGAGATATTTTTGATTCAAGGGACTTAAGAGTTCATTTTGTCCTTTTGGGCCAAAAATTATGAGACTTACTAAGTCCAGTCTCAGTGGATCCAAAGGGCCCTCTCCTGCCTTGGAAGAAGCAAAAGGTCCCCTAGGGCTGCTCCGCCGCGCTGCAGCAGCTTTTTACTGACGACGAGACGGGGGTGACAATAGAGCTAATGGCTGACCAGTGTGCAAGGGTGGTGGAAGTCAAGTTCACGTGCACTCAAGTACATGGACTGACCACCCCACTCAGCCATCCTGAGAACCTCCTGCAGGCCGGCCCTTCTGTGGGTGGTGGAGAGAGAAGTCTGCCTCCGGGACCTTGCTGGCCAGAGCTGTGTCTGTTTATGACCCGAGGCACACGCCATTCTCACACTACCTTTTGAGGATGGGAGAAGGTGACAGCAGATACCCTAGAGTCCTGGGGCTGCTGTAACACACTACTACAGACTGGGTGACCCACAGAAAACTATTCTCACAGGACACAAGTCTGCAATCAAGGCGTTGGTGGGGTTGGTTCCCTCTGAGCACCAGGAGGGAAGGACATGTTCCCGGACTTTCTCCGCAGCCAAACAGATGTCTGTCTTTTCTGCATCGCTTCCCACGGCATCCTCCCTGTGTGTGTGTCTGCGTACAAGTCTCTGTGCTCCAGTGTGACCTCATTTTATAGAACTGTATCTGCAATAGTCCTATTTCTATATAAGATCATACTCCCAGGTACTGAGGTTTAGGACACACGTGAATTTTGGAGGGGACACAACTCAACCTGTAGTACAAGGGGTTTTAGGGCATTATCCAAGAGCCAGCCCTTGCCACCCTCAGTCTGTTCTGGAAGGTTCTGGCCCATTTTGCCTTCTGCTCTGGAGTCCAGGCCTCCAAGAGGCTGAGGAAGCCTGCCTCTTACCTTCCTCTAAGAGGTGGGCTTCTGGGGATTCCATCATACGTCTGCCTACTGTACAGACCCCTAAACCATCCTGTCCCTTGTTCCCCAGAAACAAACTGAAACCCAGAGGCAGAGAGGCTGGGACCAGTTGGAACAGTTGTGCTGGTTGCTGGAGCAGCAAGAACAGCATTTTGTGGCCTGGATGGAAGAGCTGGGCCAAACCATTGGTGAGATCAGGGAGACGTACGGCACCCGAGTGTCCCGGAACATCACCCATCTCGATGAACTGATTGGGGAACTGGAGGCCAAGCAGTGCCAGCCAGAGTGGGAGCTTATGCAGGTGGGTGTGGCTGACCTTCCTCTGCCCGCTGTGCCCAGGAAGATAACAAGCTCTCTCAGCTCTGCCCACGCCAGTCAGGGAGGCCCTTGCGGTGGGGAGTGGGACTTGGTCTTGGTGACCCACAAGGCCTCTTGTGCCCAGACCCCTTTGATGAATACTCAGGAGCTCAGAGTGGCCCAGCATCCAGGGGATACCCTGGCATCTTCTAGAAGAGATCATCTGGGCTTGGGGACAGTTCTGATGCAGGCCCCAGACAGGCTGCCACACTGGGGTACGAGAATTAGCGTTAGGGGAGAGGTGCCCCAGTTTTGCTGACACTCAGGCTGGGAGCCCAGGAGGAAAGGCCAGAAGTCAGTGCAACCTCTAGGACACTGGCAATAAAGAGCCTCCCTTTCTTCTCTCCTAGGACATCGGAGTCACCTTGCACAGGTACTGAGAGTGCCCTGGTACCCTGGTGTTCCCTCAGGTGTTGTGAAGAAAGCATTTGGGGAGGACATGCTGTGGCCCTTCCCCAGGCTCCTCCTGTCTCCTGCAGCTTCCTAAGGCCTTTCCAGATTTGTGGAGGGAGAATCACAGCATGATCTGGAGGGAGAGCGTGGAGCTGAAGACTGGAAAGAAAGAGCAGAGCCGGTCATGGTGATGGTAGCTTCCCAGGAAACCTCCCTAAGGGCCCACGTCCTGTGCGTCTTCCTGCAGTGTCTGTGGTCTCCGGGAGCGAAGCATTTCCCAGGAGCAGAGCTGCTAAGCCCGGCAGTCAGGAGAGGGGAGCAGAGGGGAGGGAGGAGCCTGGACATCACAATCATCTGGGAGCTTAACAAAATCCCAACACCCTGGACCTGGCAGATTGCACAAATCCAAATCTTTAGGAGTGTGACACAAGCATCGGTGTTTTTCTTATGTCTTATTTTTGTGGTGGTAAAATATACATGACATAAAATTTACCATTTTTAAATGTACGGTTTAGTGGCATTAAGTACAGTCCCATTATTGTGCAACCATCCTGACCATCCACCTCCAGAACTTTCTCATCTTCCCAAATGTAAATTCCATAACATCAAACAACAATGCCCCAGGCTCCGTCCCCTGGTCCTTGGCACCCACCATTCTATTTTTTGTCTTTAATGAATTTGACTATTCTAACTACCTCATACAAATGGAAATCATACAGTGTCCATGCTTTTGTGTATGGCTTATTTCACTGAGCATAATGTCTCCAAGCTTCATCCATGTTGTAGAATGTCAGAATTTCATTCCTTTTCAAGGCTAAATAATATTCCACCACGTGTATATACCACATTTTGTTTATTCATTCATTCATTCATTCATCAAAGGATACTAGAGTTGTTTCCACCTTTTGGCTTCTGTGAATAATGCTGCTGTGAATATTGGTGTACAAATACCTGTTTGAGTCTCTGCTTTCAATTCTTTTGGGTATGTTCCCAAGAGTGGAATTGCTACATCACAAAGTAACTCTATGTGTACCATATATGTTTGCCAAAAACACAGGAGATATGTTATATATTTATTCTTCTTGAGGAGCCACCATACTATTTCCCACAGTGGTTACTGTTTTACATTCCTACCAGCAATGCACAAGGCTTCCAATCTCTCTACATCCTTGCTAACACTTGTTACTTTTGATTTTTTTAAAAATAACAGCCATCCTAATTTCACTGTTTTTTTTTCTCATTGATGCTCATTTTTATTTCAATAGAAAAAGACTAAGGAAGTGTACTCTGACATAGATAATTCTGGGTTGAACATTCCGGAATCAGCACCATTTTAAGGCCATTATTAAAGCTCATTGTGCTTTTCTTATCAGTAGTTTTTAAAACTCCCCAGGTGATGTCCAATCCACAGCCAAAGTTGAGGACCAATGTATTTTTTTCTTGAGTACGCAAGCAAGCACGTACTTTATTGGAGAAGTGAGGAAACAATGCTTGACAGACCAAGGTGCAGAGGACCCGTGTCTTGGAGTCCGAGGCCAGGGAGGATTTCCTTGGCGAAGCCCAGGCTGGCTGGATGTGCCCTGTAGAGGCCACACCTCACTTCCAGCTCATGGGAGCTTGGGTCACCCCCAAGTTCCAGGTCCCTATGGTCAGTAGTCTTTTGTCTCTAGGGCCAAGATGGTTACAGTCCCCGAGCCATGGGCCACCCCTCCAGAGCTGAAGGAAAAGATCCACCTGCTCTACCAGAAGTCAGAGTTTGTGGAGAAGAGAATGAAGTGCTTCTTGGGTAGGTGGGCTTGGGGGAGGATGGAGGGTGCCTGTTTGCTTCCTCCCTGAGATCCATGGAGCCCAGAGCCCCCTGACATCCCTTCTCCATGTCCGCTCAGCCCCCTGGTCTGCCCCTAGACAGGGAGGCGAACTCCAGCTCCTTTTCTCCTTTCAGAAACCCTGCGTTCAGAAATGGAGACCTTCCATGGTGAGTGTGGCAGTGTGAGTGCGTGCTGGCCAGGGATGATCATGATATTGCTTCATGCTGTTGATTTCTGGGCATGATTTACAAGAGAGAAAAATGCAGGAGACAGATCATGCAGACCTTCACAGCATCTGTGCAGTATTTGTGGGCTGGGCCAACTCGTCAGAACACAGTCTCCAAGGCAGGCCCAGGTGCCGGAGGGGAATGGGGTTATATCCGAACAGAGGAAGCAGAGTCCGGAGGGAGGGCGGTCCTTGTCTTTCCTTCCAGGGGGGGGTCAGGGTAGATTCAGCCCCTCTGAATGGGAATGTTCAGGACTTTTTCCCTGTCTCCTTTTCCTCTATAGTTTCAGAACTGACTGGCGCACAGGCACATGCTGGTAAGTGCCCAGATCAAGGCAAGTGGTCTCGGCCTGCTGGGTACCTATGCTGATACCCAGTGTGTTCCAAAAGAATGGTCCTGTCCGTGTTTCCTGCAGGTGGGGAGAACCCTGTGGGGATGTTGCCCATAGACCCCCAGTTAGGTATTTTAATTCTTTCTGCAGTGAATGTGATTCTGGATGCAGAAACTGCCCACCCCAACCTCATCTTCTCCGATGACCTGAAGAGTGTGAGACTTGGAAACAAGTGGGATTGTCTGCCTGACAACCCAGAAAGATTTGATAGCTGCATCATTGCCCTGGGCTCTCCAAGCTTCCTCTCTGGCCACCATTACTGGGAAGTGGAGGTGGGAGACAAGACAGCGTGGGTCCTGGGCATCTGCAAGGCGTCCACAAGCAAGAAAGGGAGCATGACTCTGTCACCAGACAGGGGCTACTGGGTGGTGATGATGATGAGGCAACACAAGTACCAGGTGTCCACCATTCCCCCAACCCACCTGCAGATAAGGAAGCCCCTCAGACGCGTGGGCATCTTCTTGGACTACAAGGCTGGAGACATTTCCTTTTACAACGTGACAACCAAATCCCCCATCTACACATTCACTGGCTTCTCTTTCTCTGGGCCTCTTAAACCTGTCTTCAGTCCTGGGACACATGACAAAGGGAAGAACATGAAACCTCTGATCATCTGTCCCGTGGGCGGCCAGGGGCATCACTGAATGCCCAACACCCTGCACCTGTCCTCTGGTTCCAAGCCTTGTATCTTGAGCACCTAGGCTCAGCAGTCATGACTGAACACGTTCCAGCTGCTGTAGGGAATACAATGGATAAGAGAGCAGTGCCCCTTAAGTAATGCCAGGAGACCACGGAATAGCAGCAAAAGCAAGCTAGGTACACAAATTTGGCAAGCCAAGGGTTAAGAGAATACATGTACTGGTGACGTGCTGTGGATTTCAGAGGAGGAAGTACATGGCTGTTGCTGAATAAGTCCTTGCATGAATTAGCACCTTAAGATGTTCCTGGGGCATAGATCCCACCCTTAGGCCCTTAGGGCAAGTGTCCCCTCATTCTATCCTCCCCTGTCTTGAGGACCTGAGAGGCCTAGAGGAAAAACAAGCAGACTGATTGTTATGAAATATTTTTATACCAGGATTAATGAACTATGGTTCTTGAGAGTGTTGGCTGGGCCTCATAAGTAAATCAATTAGAAAACTTGTCTAAATTGCACTCAGTTTGCACCCAATTTCTTGCCTCTCAGATGATCACTGTGGAATCCCATTTCTCTATTGGACACCATGAAAGAGGCACAGCTGCTGGACTCTGGGAACCCAAGAAGATGTTTGTCACATTTTCCAAGTGTCCGATTATTCTCTCCTAATCTCTATCTGAAAATCTGTGTGCCTATGCAGTATTAGTTGTTCGTGTTTACAGACATATCCTCTATCATTCCTCATTTAAAGAGATACAAAGAGAAAGGGTGAAGGGGAAAAAAAGGAATCAAATGAAGATTAAACTCCAAACTCCTCCCCCAACTCCTCTTTCCATCTTTATACTAGAGCCTAGGTTGGACTCAAGTTCTCCATGGTTTTCTTTCTTTATGGAGCTTTGTTCATTGTGCATAATCCGTATGCTGCCACAGTTCATGTGCCATTTGCTTAGTTGTTCCCTACACTGGTCATTTGTTACTCCCAATTCTCCCTTGTTATATAATGTGTTCATGAATAACTTCGTGTATTTTTTCCACAACCTCCCCATATACATATTTTCTGTTTTTCCTAAAATCGTTCCAGAATGTGAACTATTTGATAATACTTGCTGCAGTTAGCCATTCAGTCCTTCAGAAAGATTAAAGAATGTTCCATGCCCAAAGCAGTGTGTGTTCTGATCATCTGTCCCGTGGGCGGCCAGGGGCATCACTGAATGCCCAACACCCTGCACCTGTCCTCTGGTTCCAAGCCTTGTATCTTGAGCACCTAGGCTCAGCAGTCATGACTGAACACGTTCCAGCTGCTGTAGGGAATACAATGAATAAGAGAGCAGTGCCCCTTAAGTAATGCCAGGAGACCACGGAATAGCAGCAAAAGCAAGCTAGGTACACAAATTTGGCAAGCCAAGGGTTAAGAGAATACATGTACTGGTGACGTGCTGTGGATTTCAGAGGAGGAAGTACATGGCTGTTGCTGAATAAGTCCTTGCATGAATTAGCACCTTAAGATGTTCCTGGGGCATAGATCCCACCCTTAGGCCCTTAGGGCAAGTGTCCCCTCATTCTATCCTCCCCTGTCTTGAGGACCTGAGAGGCCTAGAGGAAAAACAAGCAGACTGATTGTTATGAAATATTTTTATACCAGGATTAATGAACTATGGTTCTTGAGAGTGTTGGCTGGGCCTCATAAGTAAATCAATTAGAAAACTTGTCTAAATTGCACTCAGTTTGCACCCAATTTCTTGCCTCTCAGATGATCACTGTGGAATCCCATTTCTCTATTGGACACCATGAAAGAGGCACAGCTGCTGGACTCTGGGAACCCAAGAAGATGTTTGTCACATTTTCCAAGTGTCCGATTATTCTCTCCTAATCTCTATCTGAAAATCTGTGTGCCTATGCAGTATTAGTTGTTCGTGTTTACAGACATATCCTCTATCATTCCTCATTTAAAGAGATACAAAGAGAAAGGGTGAAGGGGAAAAAAAGGAATCAAATGAAGATTAAACTCCAAACTCCTCCCCCAACTCCTCTTTCCATCTTTATACTAGAGCCTAGGTTGGACTCAAGTTCTCCATGGTTTTCTTTCTTTATGGAGCTTTGTTCATTGTGCATAATCCGTATGCTGCCACAGTTCATGTGCCATTTGCTTAGTTGTTCCCTACACTGGTCATTTGTTACTCCCAATTCTCCCTTGTTATATAATGTGTTCATGAATAACTTCGTGTATTTTTTCCACAACCTCCCCATATACATATTTTCTGTTTTTCCTAAAATCGTTCCAGAATGTGAACTATTTGATAATACTTGCTGCAGTTAGCCATTCAGTCCTTCAGAAAGATTAAAGAATGTTCCATGCCCAAAGCAGTGTGTGTCACGTGGAAATTTTTGCTGATTGAATAGAGATGTGATGTTTATGTTTCATTTCCTTACCTGTGACTGCAGTTGTGAAGTTTTCCATGTGAATTTCTACTTTGTGCTTCATTCTACAGAAATGATAGAGCTTATTTGACTACTTGCTATGTGGAATCTAGGTATTGAACTTAGTTGTTTGTAGTACCTGTTCATAAATACTTTAGATACTAAATATTCTGTCAAATGCAATTTTCTGCCCAGTGTTTTTTAAATTGAGATTTAACTCTTGTACCATAAAACTCACCTTTTAAAGTGTATAATTAAGTGGTCTTTAGTACATTCAAAATGTGTACAAACCTCACCACTAATTCCAGAATATTTTTATCACCACTGCACCCCGTATCAATCATTTCTATTCTCTCCTCCCCCAGCCCCTACCAACAACTAACCTATTTTTGTCTCTGTGGATTTTGCCTATTAGGAAAATTTCATGTAAGTAGGATAATACAATATGTGGTCTTCTGTGACTGGCTTCTTTTGTTTAAAGGTGTATTCACATTGGTGGATGTATCAATACTTCATTCCTTTTCTATTGCTGAATAATCATCCATTATATGGATACACTACTGTTAACTTGTTTACCCATTCATTGATAGACATCTGGGTTGTTTCTACTTTTTAACCATTTTGAATAATGCTGTTTATTCCTGCGTTAAGTTTTAGCATGGGCATACGTTTCCATTTCTCTTGGTTTATACCTAGCAATGGACTTACTGGATCTTATGGTAATTCTATGTTAACATTTTGAGAGATTGCCAACTTTCCAAAGTGGCTAAAGCATCTTTTCAAATGTTAATGACCATCTAGTCTTCCTCCCCTGTGGGATGCCCTCATAGTCTTTTGCCTTTGTCTTTTGCCAGTTGGCAGGAGCTCTTTGCATGTCTGGAATGTCTTATTCTTTTTTGGTTTATTTTTTTTACAATTATTTGCTAGGCTATTACTTGTTTGACTTCATTAATAATTGTTTTTTTAAAAAGTCACACACATTTATATTTTACTTTAAGGCTGTTTTACTCAACATTAATGTTCTCTTGTGTTTTTTTTGGGACGCTGTGGCGGAAACAGCCGTGACTCCGGTCAGATCTTCCGGTCGGGAAGACAGCCCACTTCCGGGCGAGCCTCGGACTTGCCCCGCCCCCTTACACCGCGCCTAGCGGCCCCTCATTGCCTGTTCGGAGCCGAAATACATTTCCCAGCAGGCTCAGGAGCAGCCTAGTCCTACCTGGTGTGGTGCCAGCCCGACATGCAGAGCGGGAGTTGGCCTTCTGATGTCTGTGTCCCAAGCAGCGCCACAAAGAGAGCGCCTGCCACCAGCGTGGCCTCCCTCTGGCCCGGGGCGTTCCGCCAGTCGCCCTCGAGCCTCGCCTTCTCAGGTGCGGACTGCCCGCTCCAAGCGGGGAGACCAGGCTTTCGCACCGGAAACGAGGCACCGGGTGTGATGTCACGGCGATCAAGGCGCTCGGCCTCCCAGAAGGCACCGCGCCCCCGCCGTCCTCCTCAACTGAAGGAGGCGCCCTCCAATCGTCGCCTGCGGCCTGTGAGGACACTCGGAAGGGCGAGGGGAGGGGTCGGCATCTCGCTCCCAATTTCCCGGTCTCTCCTCGAGCCTGTGTCTCCTGGCGGTCCCCAGCGAGCGGCCCGGGGTCGCAGAGCCGCCGAGAGGTGAGGAGCCCGCGAGGGCGGAACCAGGCCGAGGTGGCCTCTGGGGAGCGGAGCGAAGTCGGCTGCTGGAGGAGCTTGGCCGGATAGGGAGCCGGGAACGCGCCTCAGTGTTGCCGGTGGCGGTAAAGGGGCCTCTTGGCCGGGGGTAGAGGCTCCAGAGTGGATCCTACCGGGCTGCCGGGCCGCTCTCAACACGGCTTTGACGGCGGAAAGGAGTTGGCGGGGCTTGCGTGGACACCGCATGCGGCCTTGCGTTTGCTCTTTGAGCCATTCACCCACCCCTTAAAGGGCAACGGAGGCCACATTCAGTCACTTGGCAGACTTCTAAGCAGATGCCCTCGGTGTTGGACCTTAGATTTCCCGCCTTCTAACCCATTGCTGTTTCCACCAGTATGGTTAAACTGCTCTCCCCAGTGGAAATTGCACTTCACGTTTCTCAGGAGGATGGCCCTGGTCTTCTGATGGCTACCTCTGCTCCTTCCGTTTGGCCCTTTGGGTTTGGATATCCTCCGACTTTATTCTCAAGATCTTTCAGGTCTTGCTGAGAATACCCAGTTCAGGGACCTTCCCTTTCAGTTCTGAGTTCCCTACCCCAGCTTACCTCGCCTTTTCTGATTGGGATCTCATATGGCCTCACTAAGTAAGATGCATATTGGAGTGCAGACGTGCCCTGACGGAACTTGTGGGTAACCCATTGTTCTGTCGCCTGCAGCTTGGCTGTATGACAAATTTCCTTCAGTAAGAGGTGACTCTCAGAGCTCTTCAGAAACGAGTGTGGTGTGTGATTCAAGGCACAATGGCTGCAAAAGTGGTTCCCATGCGTCTCAAGTCAAAGCGGTCCTTTATACTGAGAGTTCCTCCAGACTCCAGGCTGAGCCAAGACCTACATCGAGATGCTACAAGTGGGCCCAAGACCATCCATCAGCTGGTTCTGGAGCACTTCCTCACCTTCTTACCCAAGTCAAGCCTGAACCAGCCCAATAAGAAAGTCAGGGAGACCCTGGTTATTATGAAGGATGTGAGCGCAAACTTTCGGAACAGAGGTAAAAACTAGAATTGGAGGAGATGCTTCTGGGAGCTGAGATAGACTTCCATGTCGGTAATGAAGTCAAGTTGGGGTGGTGGGTATTGAAAAAAGGAGTTGATTCTGATAACATGTTGGGGAAAGGGAGTATTTCTTTTCAAACTGAAGCTTGAATGGTTTTCTGGAATGGTGTGTGTAAAGCCACAGAATAAATACTGCATCTTTTCTGTGGTGTCATTTTTACCCCTTCAGAGGGGAGTCGGAGAAATTTTTAGGAGTAAGCAATATGGGTGAATTACTGAATTGGCTTCCGTTTATGTGGAATTTGAGGAATTTGTGCTTGTGGACATCTTCTGAATTTACTTTCCCCAGTCTCTTTAGTAGTAATGAGAATTTGAAAAGGTACTCATTTTTTTCATGAGGAGATCCCATGTAGGTTCAAGACCCTGTAGTTATGGCTTAACTTCTGACTGGGCTCTCAGGAGCAGAAAAAAAACAGGAGTTGCCTGCCAAAGGAGGCTGTGTGAACAGTCTGGCTTCAAGGTATGGGTAGAGCCTCCATATTAGAGTCACTGATCTTTCCATTAACTACTCTGTCCTCTTCCCCCAGGGCAGCCTCGTCCCTTAGTGAGGCTTCTGTCCAAAGAAGGAATCCAGCAGAAACAGCAAATAGTTTCTCTCTTTTTGAAGGCTGAGCCAGAGGTGGGTTCAGGTTTCCTATTCATTGTTTGAATGCATCACCTTCTCTGCTCTTGCAGCCCAGGGATAAGAACACACTCTTGGGGGTCAGCCGAGAGAATGGGTTCATTTTTCACTGCCTTCTTGCACACTTGTCTTCTTTTCCTCTGGCCCCTCTTTCCCATCTGTGCTGTATCTGCATGAAATGTACAGATGCCTGTTGCCAAACCTTCCCTGACCTTTGGGTCTCAGTCTTTTTACCAGCAGGGCTGTCAAGGAACCTCTGTTACTAAGAGGAAGGGGGTCTGTTGCTCTTTTAGGAGCTGGTGGTCTTGGAGGATTTGAATGTATTTTACTCTCAAGAAGAATGTATAAGCCTGGAACCTGCTCAACAGCCCACCTCAGAGAAAGAAGAAGGCAGTGTTGGGGAGATGAAGTTACTGGGTAAGAAATCAAGTCCTTTGTTGAGATTGAATGCTGCAGGAAAAGCATGCTTTTCTCCTTCATCTCAGACTTTCTATTCACATCATCAAATCACACATACATTTCAGTTTTGTTTCTTACATGGAGCAGAGCCTGCCAGCTATGGAGGGAATTTCCCCTGTATCTTGGGAATTGCAAGGGTGGAGGGGACTTCTCTTGGTAAACAAAGCCTCCTGCTAATGTACTAACATCAAACATTCAGGCAGAAAACAGACTTTTTCTGAACCCAGTGCTGTTCTCCCGTGGGTAAATTTTAAATTAAGATTTGTTGAACATGTGACTCTTTTAAGTCTTTTTTTTTTCCTTGATGTTCAATAGCTGTGAAGCCTACTAGTGAAAGTAAAAATATGTTCTGCCATTGTTGGAAATAATGTCTGGCCCTTCTTAAACATTTGTGGGCCATTATGTGCTAGGCACCAGTCTAAGTACTTTGCATGCATTTAGGATCTCATGTAATGCTCACAGCAGTTCTGTGGGATATAGGAATTACTACTGTTGTACAGATGATGGAATTGGGGCAGAGAAAAGTTAAGAAATTAGCCGAAGGTGGCACTGCAGTATATAGGAGAGCAGGGATTTGCATTCAGGGAATCTAACATCAGAGTCTGCAGTCCTGGCCCAAAGCTGTCCTGCCTCCCTGCTGCATTTCTCGTTTTATCAGGGACTGCCCTCTGCGGTCAGTGAATGGGGACTTCCTCCTTCGTACTCATTTCCCAGTACTGGTTAACAAGTGTCCTCTGCGCTACATATGAACTGTTGGGCGGCAGTTTCTCTGGAAGCTGCTTAGAGATGCTTCAGCTTTTCTCTAGAAATACGCTGCTACCTTAGAGTCAGGGGCCCTTAAAAGTTGTTTTTCTGGTTGCCTAATACTTTTTACCTTGTCTTCAGGGCTCTTTGCTTCTGAAAATGAAGTAGAGCAGTGAGTGGATTTTTTGAGTTGCCCGGAGTGACAAAAATCCATGATTAATGAACTCTGTAGTTGTCACACACTGTATGGTCATGGTCAGGGTAATGGTACGTAATGGCCCTGGTTAATTTCCCTTAGATTTTTCTATGTAATATTCTCCTTATTTGGGGGGAAAGTATGAACAAATCAGATTTATGACTGAGTTTTTCCTTGGTCTTGGGCAAAGCTAGCATTTTTGTTGGTGGGTATGTTGCCAGCTCCAGAAGCACTTGGGCCATGCCCCCTAAGCCCTGAGACCCAGTCCGCACTCTCTTCTTTTTCCCTCCCTCACACCCTAAAGCTGATGATTTAAGCGTAGAGTCCTTCACCAACATTTCATAAATATTACTGCTTTTTCCTTAGGTGGGGTTGAGTTCTAGACTTGATATTCAGCTGGTAAAAAAAGATTTATAATGTCCCCATTCCTGCCCTCCAAGGGCTTCCAATTTGTTTTGCAAGATAAGTCATTCACACAGAAAGATAAGCAGTACAAAACCATTATAGCTATAAAGAGCTATGATGAGGTTGAGACAGGATTTGGACCCAGGGGCAGAGTTGGGAAGAAGATGAGTTTGATTTGAGATGAAATTGAATCCATGGCAGGAAATAAAATGAAATTATTTTCTGGGTACTTGGACATGGGATATTAGAAGTTAGATGTAATGATGTTAGAGATTTGGGTATCATTAGCATACAGCCAGTATTCCAGTAGTACCATTTGATCAATTTGTAAAGGAAAAATGGAAGGGAATGAACCCTGAGCAGACAGGAATCAAAGGAAAATTCTTGACACAGGAGGACAGAATGTGTGTCTCACAGTCCAAATGAACCACATGAAAACACTTGAAAATGTAGAACATTTAAATTCTCTGAAGTAGTTCTTAGGGTCATATCTGTCCTCTTCTGTGGTATATAGATTTTCAAGATTGATGCAAATTGACTACATATGCAAGAAAGATAGATTCAGTAGATCCCAAAAAACAAATAATACAAGAGGACCTATCGTAATGCAATCCAACTAGAAATTAGTAATGAAATCATGAAAAAGGTTTTTCCACCTGGAAATTTTAAAACTATCCAGTAACTTCAGGTCAAAGGGGAAATACAAATTAAAATTGAATAATTTTCCTAGAAAACACTAGGTATCAGAATTTATGGTATAACATATATTGGTACTCAGAAAATTCATGGCTATAAAAACATGTATACTTTAGAAAAATGAAAGTAAGCTTCTGGATCAATGTTAGGAAAACAACAAGATAAAAGAAAAAGTATATTAATACAAAATTAGTAATCAGTAAGTTAAAACTAGAAAACAGGAAACTAAAGAGTAGTAAGATTTGAACACAAACAAGTTTCTGTAGAGGAAATTGAAATTGTCAAAAAAAATTAGCTCTGCACCAAGAAAAGTGACCACCCTCAGTTTTTCAAGAAAATCCTTGTAAATCTTTAAAAATTAGACAATTTAATATGCTGTGAAAACTTCCAGAGTGTAGAAAAAGATAAAGTTTCCAAATTCTTTTTATGAAATTAATATAACAAAGGTACCACAACCTGATAAAAACTGTCATGACCAATTAAGGTTTATTCCAGGAATGCAAAAAAAATCTTGTGGTAAAAAGGAGGAAAATCCTAGGATCATTTTCATAGTTACTTAAAAGATATTTGACAGAAGACAAACCCCCTCATTAGAAGGCTTAACGAAATAGTCATTAACGATACTTTCTTAATGGGGTGCTTACCCTTTCAGCCAGCTTCATCTTCATCAGGGAACCCCGGGAGGCAGCCCCACTAACAATCAGGATAAAACATGAAGCCCACGTCACCACTGTTTAACATTGTGCTTCAGGTATTAGCCCTTACGGTTAAATGAGAAAGAAATGAGATATATGAGAATTTAAGAGAAAGATAAAAATACATCTACTTCTTGTATAGCTGGAAAACCCTAGAGAATATCTGAAAACTTACTACAAATAAGAGCTTTCAGTAAGGCAATGGGATGTAAATTATTATACATAAGTCATTAACTTTCATATATGCAAACAATCATTTAGAAAATACAAAATAAAAAAGATTTCTAAACACCTGATAAATTAAGAAATGTGCAAAAATTTTAAGAAAAACTTTAAAATACTTCTATAGGACACAGAAGTAGATTTGAATGAATGGCTAGGAAGAGTTTGCATAAAAAGGTCAGTTCTTCCCAAGTTGATTTATGAATTCAATTAGTCCCTTTAACAATACCAAAATGATTTTTTCCCCTGGAACTAGACAGTCTGATCTCAAATTCAAATGAAAAATACAAGTAACCAGGAAAATTGAGAAGAGCAGTGGGGCAGGGTGGGTCCAGCCCTCTTGGGTATTAAAGCAGCCACTAAAGCCTGATTAATGAAAACACTGGCATGTGAGCAGACAGACCAGTGGGATAGAATAAAAAGTCCAGAGATAGCCTCAAATACACATGGGGATTTTAGTTTGTGATGAACTTGGATCCAGTCAGTCAGGTAAAGAGCGAATTGATTAAAAGTGTTGGGATAACTCAGTACCTGTTGGGTGAATTATGCCTGCCTTTGCACACCAAGAAAAACTGCAAATGGATCAAAGTATTAATTTTAAAAAAATTTTTTTCAATAAAAATAAATTTTTTATTGAACCTTTTGAGATAGAGTTTTTTAAATAATAAAAGTAATACATCATCATTAACAAACATTTGGAGAATAAAGAAAAAGAATCTTGACACTTGGAATATCACTGTCCTCACAACAAATTTTAAAGAGTATATCTTTTTTCTGTCATTATAGAAGCAGTGTATACTCACTGCAAAAACAATTACATGAGAGGAAGATACAGCTAGAACAAAAAATCTCTTTTAGTGCCAGCTTCCAGAAAGAATGACTATTTCAAATTTAGCCAGTAACAGGGAGTATTTTTGTAGATGTCCTAGATTTTTCTCCAATATGTGTTTTACAAAGGCATAGTCATAGTATATATTTATAATTTTGTACCCTGTCCTTTTCATTTATCATATCACCCTTTTTTACCCTTCTATAGAGCCATTAAACTTATGATTTTTAAAGTAAAAGTTATGTTCTGTCAAGAGAATATACCACAATTCTAAACTATCCCCTTAGTATGATACATGAGTGGGGATGGTTTTCTCTCTATTACAAATATGTCTGCTACAGACACCTTTCTGCATGTTGTTTTCCCCATAATTTAGTTATGTAAAGATGAACCCACAGGTGTACCATTGATTCAAAGGGTAGGAACAGTTTTATGGTCTTTGAAACATAATGCTAAAATTATCCAAAGCATTGAGGTCAACTTAGGGTATACCAACAAAATACCAGTTTCATTCCACCCTTGTCAGCATTCGGTCTTACCATTTTTTAAATTTCTTTTACTAAATAGCTAGAAATTTGTTCTGATCTGGTGGGATGTAGGCACATTTCCAGCACTGACTTTGGGTACTGTATCTTGAACCTTTTGACAACTTTTCTGTTATCTCACCGTCAATCACTTCACAAAATTTTTCTTTTCTATCCAGATCACCTCTGCTCCTGGACTTACAGAATCAAGGGCATGTCTTGTTGATTCTCCAGAAGGAGGATCTGGTGAAGGCCTATGTGTCTGTCTCTCCTGCTGTTGGGGCTTTTTAAAAATTTTATCTTTCTGTCCCTCATACAGAAGGTGTTACTTCAGTCTCCATTTTTCAGGGTGAAATGCCCTGTGTGTTAAGTGGGAGAAGGTGGATTCAGGCTCTCTCTATTCCACCATTGTCCCTGAAGGCCTCCTAAATAATTTAAATGTTAAAAAACAAAATAAGATAATTCCTTTATAACCATGAGCTAGGAAGGCCTTCCTAATTAAGACTCAAAGGTTCAGAAATCAGAAACCTGACACATTTGTTGAGATAACTGAGAGCGAGGTGTATTGCTGGTGGGTATGCAGAATGGGACAGTTCCTGTATATGTGAATCTGTAATTACCCATATTGCAGATATATTTACTCTTTGATCCAGCAGTCTCACTTCTGGGAATCTGACCTACAGATAACAGGAATAGCACACATTCAAGATAATGTACAAACAAGGTTATTAGTTGTGGTATTGTTGGTAAAAACACAAGATTGACAGTCCAAGTATCTGTAGGGTACTGAATGAACATGGTGTGTCTACACATCATAATGTAATTTCTATGCATTGGAATATAGCAGCTGAAATTAACTAAGAAGAAATAAACATTGTAGTACCTTTTATAAAAGAAAGGGGGAGGGGGAAAAATGTATTGTTGCCTAAAGAAGAAATAAATAAAGAAGAATAAAAAACTAGTAAAATACCTGTCTGGGATGAATAGAATAGATGGGGACAGGGATTGGAGTAATCTCAGTGTATACATTTTCATGTTTTGACTTTTGAGCCATTTAAATATATTAGTTACTAAAAGTTTTTTTATTTTAAAAATTAGTGCACTAAAGGAATATGAAATATATTCCTTTGACTCTTCAGGAAAATAAGACAAAGCATGATTGTCAATTAAATGTCCTCAAAACATTTAGCCCTTTAATATAACCTAACATTTATAATCATTCATAAAACACTGGTTTCTTCTTAAAACTGAGAAGAAAATAAACCTATCACTATTAATATCATTAACTTATCACTATTAATATCATTTCTTATCTTCTGCAAGAAGATAAGAAAAAGGGGTTAAGAACAAATATTAGAAATGGAGAGAACCAAAACGTGATAAAGTAGGTAGATGGGGAGTAAATATACAATAATATTTTTAATCATGAATGAAAGTTCTCATTCAGAATGGCTATAAAATACAAGTGAACTAGAGATATTTTACTGGTAAATATAAAAGAAGATTCTTAAATATTGGAGAGAAATCTGGGGAAAGGAAAGCTTAAAATCATTTCAAGATATTAGTACCTTCAAAATTTATTTATACTGCAAATAGTCAGAGGTTTTTTGAAAGGTAGAAGAAGGTATTCTGGCTAGTTTTACCAGTATTAGGCATGTTACAAACAGTAGTAACACAGCATGATACTAAATTCCAGATGTATAGAGCTAACTATAGAATAAATCATAAAAGAATGGCCAGAAAAACAGAATAGAAATTTTTCAGATTTTGAAAGACTAGTCTTTTTTCTGGTTTTAAGTTATACAGTTATCATAAAGGAAGGCTTCAATTAAAAAATATATTGATAGGGATAAAGTAATTAATATTTATAATACATAAAACTTATTTTATTTATGAAAGTCTGAGCCCAATGGATAAGTTTCTGGTTTGCAGTAATCAAAGTGGCAAAGTAAAGCTACATTAAGAAACCATTTTAAACCAACTCAGTATTTTAAATGATATCTAATGCTGGCAAGATTGGGAAATTGGTATCCACATGTTGATGGTTGTATTGAAATTGGTACAGCTTCTTTGGAAAGAAGTATGGCAGTTCCTCTCAAGAGCTATGGTGAAAATTGGTGTATGCTTTGAGCTAGCATTTTCATTATCATAAGGGAATAATTAAAACAAATACTTGAAAACAAAAAATTCTGTTGGTATGAAACTGCTAACTCCAGCAGAGAGTCACATTCCACCTTCAGGATCAGCCACACAGCTAAGTGGTTGATTTAACCCTTTATTTTATTCTAGTATGTTGCCCAGTTTAGGGGTCCCTTGTCATCCCACCTGTTCATATCATAGTTTTCTTTTCACTTAGTTTTACCTAGTCTTTATAATCCATTATTTTACACAGACTTTTTTTTGGAAGTATAATATAAATACAGAGAAGTCAACAAATCATAAGAGTACAATTCAGATTTTCACAAAATATATGCATTTGCCTAGTTACCACCCAAAATTGAATATTCTTAGCACCTCAGAAATCCCTTATATCCCCTGCCCAGTTGCTACTCCATTACCTTCCCCAAAAAGATCACTGCTGACCTCTACCACAGGTTTTTTTTAATAGGTAGTAGTAAAAACTTTAATGCCCAAATAATAATCAATAAATTATGTAATATGCTATGCCTTCTTTATTTTTGGTCATTTGTGTCCAGTTTTTCACAAAACAGGGTGTCATATTATCTAGTGCCATAAAATTGTAATATTTAATGTAGTCAAAACCTGGAAGTAATTCATCTTACCATGTACCTACTAGCCTCCTAGAGATTACTAGTGACACCCTTTAGTGTTTAGGCCCTTCATCCCCTGGGCCTTAGCTCAGTGCTCTACACAGTATGAGTCCAGAAAAATATAAGGCCAGTATGAACTTGTGGAGTGAGTGACTGGTGCTCATGTAGAAAACAAAGATATGTAGTCCCACTCATTTAATTTTTTAAAAAAAAGTAAAAAGAGGACTGTGTGCTTACATTGTGGGTATGGAAGAGTTATCGGTCATATATTACACACTCAGTAAGAGTGGAAAAGGAGTGTTCACAGCAATTATCTACCAGTCCTCATATTTCTTACTTTCAAGGTTATTGTTTCATGAAAAATCTGACTTGTTTTTTTCCCACCTGGTGTCATATCCCTCAAAGGTCAATAAATTCTCTCTTTGTCTCAACAGTCAATGACATAAATCCTGAGGGCGAAGATTTTCAGAAAGAACTTGTAGAGAATGATGATCATGGAGAAAAATCTTTAGATTGTAATGAAATGGATTGTTCCATGGTCTCTGAGCAACCTCCAGATTGCCATAAAGAAGACATATCCATCCCAAAGAAAAGGAAAATGAGAAATCTTCTAGTTACCATTGAAAATGATGCTCCATTAGAGGAACTCTCAAAATATGTGGATATCAATGTTATTGCACTTACCTGCAATCAGAGAACAAGAAGATGGTACACTTGTCCACTGTGTGGGAAACAGTTCAATGAAAGTTCTTACCTTATTTCCCACCAGAGGACTCACACTGGAGAAAAACCCTACGACTGTAGTCACTGTGGGAAAAGCTTCAATCATAAAACAAACCTTAATAAACATGAACGAATCCATACAGGAGAGAAACCTTATTCATGTTCTCGGTGTGGGAAAAATTTTCGTCAGAATTCTCATCGGAGTCGCCATGAAGGAATCCATATAAGGGAGAAGATATTTAAGTGTCCAGAGTGTGGGAAAACCTTCCCAAAGAATAAAGAATATGTGCTTCATCTGCAGAGTCATGGTGCTAAGAGGCCATATGGTTGCAAAAAATGTGGAAGAAGATTTGGTCGGATGTCGAACTGTACCCGGCATGAAAAAATCCACTCGTCACGTAAGACCCGAAAGCAGAAGTGGGATCAGGAAAGGTCTGATGGTCCTGCTTCAACCTGAAGGGTGTTATAAGGAATTCTAAATGCACAGGCTGTCAGAAAAGATAGAGATATGTGAAAACCTCATTAAGCCAAAATGGGATCAATACCATCTTGGCTAAAACCTCAAATTTTTAGAATTTCACAGGAAAAAACATCCTCAAGGGCTATACCTCAGTTAGCATCCAGGCATTCTGGACTAAGGAACTTTATTTTGTGAATTTATAGAACAATGTACAGGTCATAGATCCCTTTCCCAAAAATGGCTTAGGAATTCACACTTAAGAGAAATAATGCAAAGATCCTTATCTGGAACTGAGTTTCCCTGAGAGAATCAAACTACTGATTGATTAAGCCAACAGCTTCTGTTGGCAATTCATATAACCCTCTAAGAACACCCTGTTGAAGCTTGAGTGTTGAAAGAGATTGTTTACTTTGGAATATAGGAAAATACAGCAATTGAATGTTGAAGACTTGCTCTCATTTGTGATTGAAGCAAACACTTTCAATAACCTTTATATTTTGTGGTAAAAACTGACTTTTACAGAAATCCTTTTCACAACATGATTTAAAAGTGACTGCTGTTCTTACTGTATTTTGTTCAGCTACTAAATGCCCAGACAGCTCTCACATGCCTTTCCCTTGCCAAAAGAAGTTTGGGTTGCTCAGGCCTGGCCACCCGGCCCCACCACTGGAGAAGCTCTTCAGAGTCTTGTCCCATTGCTGAGCCAAGAAGAACACCTACTAGGAAAGAAACCCAAAAGCCTGAGAGGAAGAGATTTTGGCTTGAATCCATGGCTTGTCAATAACCTTACCATATGTTTAATTCCCCTCTAAGCAGTCATCAGACCTTTGAATGGGTGGTCACTACCTCAGAAGCAAAATGTTTTATTTTTAGAAATTATGTCACCAGTGGCTAGCTCACATGGCCCCTCAAGAGAAGGGATTCGTGTCTTCATTATAGTGGATCTTTGTTCTCTTTGGCCTCCTTGATATCCAGACTTGCTTGACTTGTCTGTCCAGTGGTGCCTTCACAGGTCTTACCTGTGATGTGTGATTTTTTTTAATGCATTTTATTATCAATAATCTACAATTACATGAAGAACATTATGTTTACTAGACTCCCCTCTTCACCAAGTCACCCCCCCACCCCATTACAGTCACTGTCCATCAGTGTAAGATGCTGTAGAATCATTCCTTGTCTTCTCTCTGTTATACAGCCCTCCCCGTGCCCCCCCTGACATTATACATGCTAATCGTAAGGCCCCCTTTTTCCCTGCCCTTATCCCTCCCTTCCCACCCATTGTCCCCAGTCCCTTTCCCTTTGGTAACTGTTAGTCCATTCTTGGGTTCTGTGATTCTGCTGCTGTTTTGTTCCTTCAGTTTCTCTTTGTTCTTATACTCCACATATGATTGAAATCATGTGGTACTTGTCTTTCTCCACCTGGCTTATTTCACTGAGCATAATACCTTCTAGCTCCATCCATGTTGTTGCAAATGGTAGGATTTGTTTTCTTACGACTGAATAATACTCCATTGTGTGTATGTACCACATCTTTATCCATTCATTTCCTGATGGACACTTAGGTTGCTTCCATTTCATGGCTATTGTAAATAGTGCTGTGATAAACAAAGGGGTGCATCTGTCTTTTTCAAACTGGGCTGCTGCATTCTCGGTAAATTCCTAGAACTGGAATTCCTGGGTCAAATGGTATTTCTATTTTGAGCTTTTTGAGGAACCTCCATACTGCTTTCCACAATGGTTGAACTAATTTACATTCCTACCAGCAGTGTAGGAGAGTTCCCCTTTCTCCACAACCTTGCCAACATTTGTTGTTTGTCTTTTGGATGGTGGCGATCCTTACTGCTGTGAGGTGATATCTCATTGTGGTTTTAATTTGCATTTCTCTGATGACTGGTGAAGTGGAGCATCTTATCATGTGTCGGCCATCTGAATTTCTTTGGAGAACTGTCCAGCTCCTCTGCCCATTTTTTAATTGGATTATTTGCTTTTTGTTTGTTGAGGTGCATGAACTCTTTATGTATTTTGGATGTCAACCCTTTATCGGATCTGTCATTTATGAATATATTCTCCCATACTGTAGGGTACCTTTTCTATTGATGGTGTCCTTTGCTGTACAGAAGCTTTTCAGCTTGATATAGTCCCACTTGTTCATTTTTGCTATTGTTTCCCTTGCCCGGGGAGATATGTTCATGAAGAAGTCGCCTGTGTTTATGTCCCAAGAGATTTTTGCCTATGTTTTTTTCTAAGAGTGTTACGGTTTCATGACTTACATTCAGGTCTTTGATCCATTTTGAATTTACTTTTGTGTATGGGGTTAGACAGTGATCCAGTTTCATTCTCTTACATGTAGCTGTCCAGTTTTGCCAGCACCATCTGTTGAAGAGACTGTCATTTCCCCATTGTATGTCCATGGCTCCTTTATCGAATATTAATTGACCATATATGTTTGGGTTAATGTCTGGAGTCTCTATTCTGTTCCACTGGTCTGTGGCTCTGTTCTTGTGCCAGTACCAAATTGTCTTGATTACTATGGCTTTGTAGTAGAGCTTGAAGTTGGGGAGTGAGATCCCCCCTACTTTATTCTTCTTTTTCAGGATTGCTTTGGCTATTCGGGGTCTTTGGTGTTTCCATATGAATTTTTGAATTATTTGTTCCAATTCATTGAAGAATGTTGCTGGTAATTTGAGAGGGATTGCATCAAATCTGTATATTGCTTTGGGCAGGATGGCCATTTTGACGATATTAATTCTTCCTAGCCATGAGCATGGGATGAGTTTCCATTTATTAGTGTCCCCTTTAATTTCTCTTAAGAGTGACTTGTAGTTTTCAGAGTATAAGTCTTTCACTTCTTTGGTTAGGTTTATTCCTAGGTATTTTATTCTTTTTGATGCAATGGTGAATGGAATTGTTTTCCTGATTTCTCTTTCTATTGATTCGTTGTTAGTGTATAGGAAAGCTACAGATTTCTGTGTGTTAATTTTGTATCCTGCAACTTTGCTGTATTCTGATATCAGTTCTAGTAGTTTTGGAGTGGAGTCTTTAGGGTTTTTATGTACAATATCATGTCATATGCAAATAGTGACAGTTTTACTTTACCAATCTGGATTCCTTGTATTTCTTTGTTTTGTCTAATTGCCATGGCTAGGATCTCCTGTACTATGTTAAATAACAGTGGGGAGAGTGGGCATCCCTGTCTTGTTCCCGATCGCAGAGGAAAAGCTTTCACCTCGCTGTTCAGTATGATGTTGGCTGTGGGTTTATCATATATGGCCTTTATTATGTTGAGGTACTTGCCCTCTATACCCATATTGCTTAGAGTTTTTATCATGAATGGATGTTAAATTTTGTTGAATGCTTTTTCAGCATCAAGGGAAATGAACATGTGGTTTTTGTCCTTTTTGTTTATGTGGTGTATGATGTTGATGGACTTTCGAATGTTATACCATCCTTGCATCCCTGGGATGAATCCCACTTGGTCATGGTGTATGATCCTTTTGATGTATTTTTTAATTCGGTTTGCTAATATTTTGTTAAGTATTTTTGCATCTACGTTCATCAGGGATATTGGTCTGTAGTTTTCTTTTTGGTGGGGGTCTTTGCCTGGTTTTGGTATTAGGGTGATGTTGGCTTCATAGAATGAGTTTGGGAGTATTCCCTCCTCTTCTATTTTTTGGAAAACTTTAAGGAGAATGGGTATTATGTCTTCTCTGTATGTCTGATAAAATTCCAAGGTAAATCCATCTGGCCCAGGGGTTTTGTTCTTGGGTACTTTTTTGATTACCGCTTCAATTTCTTTGCTCATAATTGGTTTGTTTAAATTTTGTGTTTCTTCCTTGGTCAGTCTTGGAAGTTTATATTTCTCTAGGAAGTTGTCCATTTCTCCTAGGTTTTCCAGCTTGTTAGCATATAGGTTTTCATAGTATTCTCTAATAATTCTTTGTATTTCTGTGGGGTCCGTCGTGATTTTTCCTTTCTCGTTTCTGATTCTGTTGATGTGTGTTGATTCTCTTTTTCTCTTAATAAGTTTGACTAGAGGCTTCTCTATTTTGTTTATTTTCTCAGAGAAGCAGCTCTTGGTTTCATTGATTTTTTTCTATTTTATTCTTCTCAATTTTATTTATTTCTTCTCTGGTCTTTATTATGTCCTTCCTTCTGTTGACTTTAGGCCTCATTTGTTCTTTTTCCAATATCAATAATTGTGATGTTAGACTATTCATTTGGGATTGTTCTTCCTTCTTCAAGTATGCCTGGATTGCTGTATACTTTCCTCTTAAGACTGCTTTTGCTGCATCCCACAGAAGTTGGGGCTTTGTGTTGTTGCTGTCATTTGTTTCCATATATTCCTTGATCTCTATTATAATTTGTTTGTTGATCCATTGATTATTTAGGAGCATGTTGTTAAGCCTCCATGTGTTTGTGGGCCTTTTTGCTTTCTTTGTACAATTTATTTCTAGTTTTATACCTTTGTGGTCTGAAAAGTTGGTAGAGTTTCAATCTTTTTTAATTTAGTGAGGTTCTTTTTGTGGTCTAGTATGTGGTCTATTCTGGAAAATGTTCCATGTGCACTTGAGAAGAATGTGTATACTTTAGGGTGATTATTGATAGGTATGTACTTATTGCCATTGCAGGCTTTAGATTCGTGGTTACCAAAGGTTCAAGGTTAATTTCCTTACTATCTAAGAGTCTAACTTAACTCAGTATGCTGTTACAAACACAACCTAAAGGTTCTTTTCTGTTTCTCCTTCTTTTTCTTCCTCCTCCATTCTTTATATATTAGGTATCATATTCTGTACTTTTTGTCTATCCCTTGATTGACTTTGGGCATAGTTAATTTGATTTTGTATTTGCTTAGTAATTAGCTCTTCTACTTTCTTTACTGTGGTTTTATTACCTCTTGTGACAGCTATTAAACCTTAGGAACACTTCCATCTATAGCAATCCCTCCAAAATAGACTGTAAAGATGGTTTGTGAAAGGTAAATCCTCTCAGCTTTTGCTTATCTGGAAATCGTTTAATCCCTCCTTCAAATTTAAATGATAATCTTGCCAGATAAAGTATTTGTGGTTCGAGGCCTTTCTGCTTCATTGCATTAAATAAATCCTGCCACTCCCTTCTGGCCTGTAAGGTTTCTGCTGAGAAGCCTAATGATAGCCTGATAGGCTTCCCTTTATATGTGAGCTCATTTCTCTCTCTGGCTGCTTTTAACAGTCTGTCCTTATCCTTGATCTTTGCCATTTTAATGATTATATGTCTTGGTGTTGTCTTCCTTGGGTCCCTTATGTTGGGAGATCTGTGCACCTCCATGGCCTGGGAGACTATCTACTTCCCCAGATTGGGGAAGTTTTCAGCAACTACCTCAAAGACACTTTCTACCCCTTTTTCTCTCTCTTCTTCTGGTATCCCTATAATGTGACTGTTGTTCCATTTGGATTGGTCACACAGTTCTCAATATTCTTTGATTCTTAGAGATCCTTTTTTCTCTCTGTGCCTCAGCTTCTTTGTATTCCTCTTCTCTAGTTTCTATTTCATTTATCACCTCCACTGTATCCAACCTGCTTTTAATAATACCCTCCATCGTGCTCTTCAACGATTGGATCTCTGACCTGAATTCATTCCTGAGTTCTTGGATGTCTTTCCGTACCTCCATTAGCATGTTGATGATTTTTATTTTGAACTCCCTTTCAGGGAGAGTCACAAGGTCCATATCATTTAAATCTTTCTCTGGAGTTATATTAATAATTTTACTCTGGACCAGTTTCCTTTGGCATTTCATATTTGTATATGGCACCCTCTAGTGTCCAGAAGCTCTATTCTGGAGCTGCTCAGGCCCTGAAGGAATGTTGGGGGTTGCAGGGAAGCGGTGTTGGTGCCTGAGGGGAGGAAAGCTGTTCCCCACTTCCTGGCTGCTGTGCCTGTCTCCACTGCCTGTGCCAGTGGGCCAGTCACACAGGGATAAGCTTTTGTCCCAGAGCAGCCAGATATGGATCCCTGCTTTCCATAAGTGGCTGGAATCCCAGTCTCCCCAGAAACTGCCTGTCCAGCTTTCCAACCCCGTAATCAGAAGAGTATGATGAAAGCACCATGAAATGTAGGTTTGTGCGCCCAGCGCAGATCTCCGGAGCTAGGTATTCAG